ACTCCTAAATAAAATAAAATTCAATTGGGGTCAAAGTTTAATATTTAAGTTAAAATCCAATTTCAACGAAATTATAAAATGTTGTCAATTTTTAAATAAGATTTTAAGTTGGGTCAAAATTAAATTATGGGTCAAACCCATTTGAAAATCAAATGTAAAACACCACCAAATTTAAAATTCAATACATCTTTGAAAATTCAAAATTTGACCTATTTTAAAAAATACCAAACAGGCCCTCCGATTTCTGAAATTGTGAAAAAGGCCCTTATTTCAATATTTACACATTTATCACCGAAGTGAAATTACAAGTAAGGGTCCTCCCTTACTTAAATAACTTAACAAATTGACCCCATAAGGATATTGCAAACGGGGGCTTGCAATTTCACAAATTGCGTCAGAGGCCCCCGCCTCCATTTCACCCAAACCGACTGAAAAACCCTAACAAGTGTTTTTTTTAATCCTTCTTCTGGCGGCCACACCGCCACAGCAGGAGTCGCCTAGCGTGGCGGCTCCTGTAGTCGCGCTGCCGCACCGACAGCCAGCAGCCGCGTTGCCATTGCCAAAGTATGACTGTCCTCATATAAGGTACCATGACGACCTCAAGTTAAAGGACCAATTTCACTACCGAACGTTAGAGATTAACCACTGACACTTATATAGTTATCTATGTGGAATCTCTCGACGGGTCTCCAATATTTTGTTCTATGACAAAACATCCACGTATTCATTTAAGTGTCACCACACTTTAGTTTGTGAGATCAGCTACTTACTTCACAAGTAAGAAATGTCACACGTGATGGTCTATCCGTAATAACGATATCCGTATCTCGTTATTACTTACGACCACGAATAATTTAAGATTCAGTCAGATGTAATATGAAACTCACAGTCACAACTCCTTGTGATTAACAAATTACAAAGATTTGAATTTACGGATTCTATTATTTATTTAATTGTCTATTAATTAAATAATAGATTTGTCATTTAATTGCATTAATTATATATAAAAGTATTTATGTTCAAAGTTGATTGAACTTAGGGCATAATAATTACAAAGGGGTTGGAGGTGATGCTTTTACTTGTTTATATTAAAATATTTTTGAAATATGATCTAACTTTAAAAACATAACATAAAATAAGAAATAATAGTCGAGACACGGCAATGCAAAGTGGAGTGGGTTTGGGCGCCATCTCTAACTGTTATAATATATTAAATATAAAATATTTTTATTGTAATACCAAAAAGTATAATAAAGAATGACAGAGTAAAAAATCAAAGTTGCTAAATATTTTTTTTTCTTTTACTGGTTAGAATTTTTTTCATCTTATTCCTTCAAAGGAAAAACAGGTTAATTTTATAAAATATTGAGTGTTATCATTGGTGAAAATGATAAATTAGAAAAGGTTTACAGGTTTATAATTATAACGAGCACAAGTGTAAAGGGGAAATTTATGCTAATATGAGAGGGTTCTATATTTTTTTAAAACTAGAGAGGTTGCTTCCAAAATTACCATAGACCTTAAGGATGTTTCATAAATGATCTGCACCACATTTTTTAATAGAGTAATCTAATTCATAGTTAACGATTACAGTAGTTATCTTATATGTCAATTTGTTATTCACACAATTTGTAATTTGAGGTAACAAAGTTACAGAAAATTAAAATCTCAAATAACATGCTGCCTCATTTTTCCCTTTTTTCCTAGTAGATAGTATTTTCCCCCCCTTTATCTTCGTTTATAATTGTGGTATTACTCCATATTTGCTTTTCAATAAAATTCTTCTCTTTCCACCCTAGCATGTAATTATGAAGATAAAATGACTCATTTATATGCTTTTTGATTATAAATCTACAGGCAAAGCCTAGAAAGGCCTGAATTATGATTAAAAAGGGGAGGAAAAACAAAAAGAGAGGATAGAACATGACATTGGACACACATGGGAATTGCCACAAGAAGCCTACAATGAGAAAGGGTAGTTCAAGACTTGATGAAGAATGAACAAGTCACACAAGGCAACCTTTGCAAGTTGTAGAGTTGAGTAGAAGCATCTAATTTGGGCTGGGTGTTGGCATAAAGTCAGTATCATTGAAAGTAAGACTTCAATAGCCACTTTGTCATTTGCTTTAATTTATTTGCATCGGTCACAACTAATTCCTCGACTGGTTCTTTTCATATCATTAACACTAGTACACATTTTAAACATACACTAGTGACTTCTATTTTGCTTTTGATTTAGAAGGGTTTATGTGGGATCTGTGGACATTTAATTTTGTTTACTAAATCTTACATTTTTCTAGGATGCGGTTAATCGTGGTCTAGATTGATTCTGTACTTGTCTAAGATCAAGTTTGAGTTATTTTGATTTTTCTTAAACCATCTCCACCTTAGATTTGATTTTGGCTTGTAACTAGTTCCCAAAGGACACGTGCATTTATTGGTGGAAAAGAGCATTTTTCACTTGCAACAAAGTGGCACAAGGTAAAGATAAAAACTTTATTTTAATTTATGATAGAGAAGGATTGCGCATTATCGAATTGATAGTAATTGTATGTTTGGTACATACTATTAAATAAGATATTGTGAACAAAATTATAACTTATTCTTCTTTTTAACACAAATAAGACATGTTTATATATTGCATCGAACAGAATAAAGATTATTGATTCGAGATAGTTTATAAAAACGAGTATGTGACAAGTGATCCTATTACCCTTTAGAGGACTAGTTTATGAAAAAGAGTTTATGGGTTTGCTTGAAAGCCAATCGAATCTTGTTGGTTTGCCTTACGTCCATCTAGTAGTATACTTTTCTTTAAGTTTAAGAAGACATGAAGTGAACGAGGTGGAGCATGCTTTTAACGTGCAATCCCTTCCTTCAATTCTTGTTTATTCTTTGAATTCGACGGACTTAATTAAATAAACGTTATACTTTTGTTTTTTGGTCACTCTCTTTATAATCCTCACCTTTGCACAATAATTAATTTCTGCAGTTAAATTAATATAGTGTGATATTATTCCAAATTCGGTTTCATTTCAAGTCTCAATTAATTCTAAACACCCCATTCATTAGATACATAAATGTCTCCATAACCAAATGTGACGTAATTTATTTTCGAAACATACCCTGTTTGGGTTCCATTTTTCGAAACTCGTTTTTCTACCCTACATTCTCTCATAAAATAATGTTATACGTAAACTCAAATCTTTTTCTTATCTTTCAACCACACATTCTCCAAAAAACCACAATTCCAAATTTTTTTTTCCCCAAAATCTCATTTTAATGGTGCCCGGCTTAATAAATAAAGTATTATTCGCTATATGATCCACGTCTATACAAAATGTAATACTTAGTTAAAAAACACTTTTTCAAGTTGGAAACGCAAGGAATATTGGTGGCCACAGGCTAATTCATGGTAACTGTCAACTAGGGCAGATTTGAACTCCAAACACTTTATTACCATTGATTATATAGACATACACGCACACATATATAATCCATTCAAAGTTTCTCTCATCTCACTCTACACTTTCTTACACTCCTACTTGGTGTCCTTTCCAAGTCTTGTTCTAAATTCTAATACTTCTCTCTTATATATTGAAAGTTTTAACCTTTTTTGGGCATATGGAAATGGAGATTTTAGAAGAGTTTACAAAGGATCAATTGATCCTTAAAAGGAAGCGTACCAAGCAGCTAAGGCCATCACAATCTAGCTCACCAAGCGGTGGTGGTGGAGAAGAGGGTGGCGGTCGAGGAGGCGGAAACGAGTTCCGTTCATTGGTTTCATCTCCCACAACCACAGCAACATCGAGTGGAATATCTACAAGTACCGAGGAAGATGAAGACATGGCCAATTGTCTGATTCTTTTAGCACAAAGTGGTGACAAGGTGGAGAAATTTCATAGCCGAAAATTCGCAGAAATGGCCAATATAACACAAGGAAAGGTTGGCATCTATGTTTATGAGTGTAAAACTTGCAATAGAACTTTTCCATCATTTCAAGCTTTAGGTGGGCACAGAGCAAGTCACAAGAAGCCCAAGTCTACAACAGATGAGCAAAGGATTAGGAAATCATTGCCGTTCGACGAAGAAAAGAAATTGATCATCAATAGGCTTAGTCCACCACCTTCAATTCAATCATCCAACAAAGTTGATGTTAAGCTTAAAATCCACGAGTGTTCAATATGTGGCTCAGAGTTTTCATCAGGACAAGCATTGGGAGGTCACATGAGAAGGCATAGGACAGCACCAAATACTCCTAGTCCTAGAATTGGCACCGATGATTCTGAGGAGCCTAGAAAAATTCTTGCTTTGGATCTTAACCTACCGGCGCCTCCGGAGGATGATCATCGACCAGACGAAACATTTCTTCTCTTCTCCTCCCCGGCCTTAGTCGATTGCCAATACTAGAAAACAAGAGTTGACAAATTGGTTCGAAAGCTAAAAAAATTATTCACATTTTCTTTTTGTTCATAATTATCAGTTGTTATAATTCATAATTCATTAATATTGTTGTTATTAATTCTTTCTTGATTTTTTATGTTACTTTGAAGTTGAATCTTTTGAGTAAGTACCAAAATACAGTTCGCGGTGGCTTTCATTCACGAAAAGTTAGTGATGAGCCTCATTTTTTTTTTTTTTTAATAATTATTTTCTCTTCTTTCTTAGAGTAGGAAGAACGTGTAGTGTGTGTTTGACAGGATGGCATGGACAGGGTTAGGCCTAACCAGCACCACAACTAAAGTCGTGGATTAGGTTGTCTTTATTTTTTCGTTACAAATAAAGTTAAATAAAAACTTCCTTTGAGTGTCTTTTTATTAAATGACAAAGAATAAATGGATAGGAAAGATGAGTTGGTAACTGCCCTCCCTTCTATATAATACTTCACTTTCAAGCTTTTTCATATTTGTTATATTTGATCACCTCATACTCAGATACAAGTAACTCTCAGCCCCCCAATTCACACCTACGTATTCAACTGAATTATTCCTACCATTTCAAGTTTCTTAACTAACACACTCACTCATTTTCGTAAACGTTGAAACGATTATAATCTATGCTCGTGCCGTTAACTCACAAGTACAATCTATTTTGAAAGAGTCTTTGTCCATCCTACTTATCAAGAATTTCTATTATAGATTTTTAAGAAAGTTTTAAGTTGAATTCTGGTATCAATTGGACAATCAGTCAAATTAGATTTGTATGTCCATTCTAATTCAGTTTGATATTAAATTGTTTTGAGTACTTAGATGACCAATATTTTTCTTGAGGGCGAAAACGAGTTAAAACCTAGACGAAAATAAAGGAAAAAAAGAAGAAGAAGAAGATAAAGAGTATATGTTAGGGAAATTATGTATAGGATAAACAATTCCACTAGATTATCAGGGAATTAAGGTTCCATTTAAAGTTGTGTCAACTAAACCATTTAAAATTAGTTGATAATTTGTGTAATGTGAACCTCCGATGTGGGCTTAGCTAATAATTGTTGCGGTGTTTGTTATGTGCACGTTTCAGTGATTATTGTTAAGTCAAGCATGTGGCCACATTGCGTAACATGTCTAAATACATAGAAAGCGGAAGTGATTAAAGGATTCATTCAAAATAAGCACATGTAGTTTCGGCTGCCTTAGTTGTATAATTAAATTTATTTGTTTGAAAAAGAAGCAAACACTGAACGAATATTAGGTATATTGTATCTAAATCATCTAACAAAATAACGTACAAAGTACAGTATTCAATTCAACGTACCAAACATGTCACAATGACAATCTTTCTTTGCCATTCATTGTAAGGGAGTCGGAAATTAATAAATATTTTCATACTTTAAACATAAAATCGACCATAGAAATTGCCAATGGAGAAATAAACTTTAATGTGAACAAGGGCTCCATTTGGGTATTTCCAATAAATTGACCATTAAATATTTGGCTCAATTGGCATTTCATACCTCAATGGTCACTATCAAGTGCTATCACTAGAGTTTGCATTTTTAGCTCATTTGAAGTAATCACGTGAACAACTTAGTAACGATTACTGCTATATAGTACCACTGGTGCTAAGTAGAAAACTTATCTAAGGAGGCAGTCATTACGACTTAACAAATAATTGGTTCTAAAAAATTCAAGCTTGCTAATTGAA